AAGCTTCTAAGATTTAGCATTTTTTGCTATTTTATCATGGATTATCATTCAAAACTCATTGCCTTAGATAAAAAGAGAGGAAACAGACTCACAAGTTCACCCTTGTCTCCTTTGCTTCCCTTCTGTCCAGGTCCCCCAACTTCTCCCTGTGGTGCAGTACAAACAGCAGAGCTCACATCTCTCTTCTCCATCTTAAAAGGCTTTTGCCCCCCATATTTAGTCATAGTCCAATATCTTAAAGTGTTACCTTTACCACAACTTGGCTGTAAATATTTCTCAGGAGATTTTAATTTGATTGGCCCACCAAGATCTTGGGTGAGTGTCTGAAATTAATTGACTGGCTCTCTGACTAACCCCACTGGCACTATGACTGACAAAATGGTGTGATAGAAGGCGTGACTGGCATCAGAAAGGTGAGATGGTTACACAAGATGGTTAAGTGCAACTGTGGGCGTGGGATTTCTCTGCCTGTGGGCAGACGGGGTTTGCAGTGTAAGCTGCTGGCTATTTCTGGACATGTTTGTGTTAAGAATTGTTTTAATGCGTCACTATATATGTACTTTATGTTAAGATGTGCAGTGCAACCTTCTATCTTAAATAGCTATGGCGTGTGTCATGGGTAACTGTAATGATGGAGAGAAGTTTAAAAATATCAAGGAAACAAATTAAGATATGAATGTGCATATGAATCCCTTATATCTCTTAAGTACATTTGGAAGACGTACTGTGTTCCTTCATGTTATCAAATTTGATTTATTATTACAGAAAATCTACAATGTTCTGATCCCATTAGAAAGGTTATAAATGTTGAGGTAGAACTCTGAGGATGTCTCCATCTGTTTTTAGCCTTAACCAAGCACAGTAGATGCTTTTGTTTAGAAAAAATTTAACAAATTCTCCGGGGTAGATAGATATTTCAAACCAAAGATTTCTAGTATAGTACAATATTACTCCACCTTGTCGCCATCTTCCCCGGGGGGACCCTGAGGACCACCTGAACCAGGAAGACCAACAGGACCTTGAATGCCATCACGTCCAGCGGGGCCCATGGGACCTTTCTCTCCCTAAACAAAACATTACTTACAGTCATTAGGAAGTACTGCAATACTAGCCGAAAAGCACCGATTTCCTCAGACTTTATAGTGTATGCAGAGTTGTGAGCTCAAATGTTTTGCTCAGTGAGAGACAAAATACTCACAGGAGCTCCCTTTTCTCCAGCAGGGCCAGGTGGCCCTTGGGGGCCATTGCGTCCTGTCAGACCAATGGGACCTCCAGGGCCAGCAGCACCTCTCTCTCCAGGAGAACCCTGTCACCAAAGAACAAAGACTCATCAGTCACTGCTGTATTGTGTTGTACCTAACAGGCAAAGTCAATTTCCTGCTACGAAACAGATGAAAGCCACAGCAAGTGGGCTTGGTCTAATCTGAAGCATGAAAACGAACTTTGTCACAAAGCCAGCCTTAATTAAGAACACTTTCAAGAAATACCCCTTCCTGCTATCTCTTGCCACTCTATAAGCCTCGTTGTTGTTTTGTCCAGTTTCCACAGAGCAATACTCAGATTTTACAGAACTCTAATCAGAAATGTTTCCCTCAACTCAAGTATACGAGTCACTGAAGCTTAGAGAATATGTGGTCCTTTTGCAACACTCAGCAATTGATTATTTGATCTTTTAAACATTTGACTGCTGTAAGAAGCTGCAATAACAATAATAGTATAACCTGACATAACGAACAGAAATACAATCATAAACTCAAAACAATAACAAGTCCATTGACCCTGCGGTCAGCTTTAAAGTTTCACTCTGGATGAGAGCTGCGCCGATGAGCCAAATCTTATCTACCTAATAGGATTCAGCTGCTTTCCCCTGCCAAGGCCTTATGGAAGTTCTCACCATTCTTTCCCACATCAGTGTGTCTTATTAACCTGCTCTTCACTATGCCCAGGTGGGTCCTCATTGCTGTGTCGGTGGTCCAAATCACATCAACTGTGACTACATCTTTGATCAGCAGGTCATTACGGCATCCTCCTATCCAGGGATGGCTGCATTCAAATAAAACACGTGCATGTGTAGAGACCAAAGCTTCCCTCTGACTCACACATACACACTGATTCAGCTGCTGATGTGAGCTGCCACCTGGCACTCAAACGCCTGGCCCATTTCACGACAGACACTGCCAGTGACACACACACACGCACGCACAGCACCAAACTGTGTTCCTAGTGTGCCAACCTGCTCGCAAGGACACACACACACACACACACACACACACACACACACGGTTACACAGATTTCTTTCTGTTTCCCTCCCTCTCATTTTGCCCATGTTTTTCTCCCACACATGTGATTCTCTGGCTAGCAATCAGAACCACAACACAAAAACATGCAGACACACATCCAAAGTTTATGAATCAACTTGTCGCATACATCCGTTCAGTTTTTTTCCCCTTCTTTCTCGCTCTGTCACTTTCAAACACACACACACAAACCCTCTACAAAAGACTATGAAACAGCAACTCACACACAGCACTCACAGATTTTCCCACTGCACAATAGCAGCTCAGTCTCTGGCAGGAAATCGATGGAGGAATCTCTGGTGAGATCTCTCGTGTGTGCGTGGGCATTGCGCACTGGCCTCTTTTTCAGGAGTTTTTCAAACACTACCAAAACAGTCTATCACATGTTTTCAGCCAATGGCTCACTTTCAGGCCAATTTAAGAAAACGATCTCATTTTGCAGTGGAAATGGTTTCACTCATTCAGAGAACGCCCCTCTTCTCGCTTTCATCATCTTTTCATCCGTGCTCTGCATATCCACTGTCATCTAATCTGGTGTTACTCTGTCGCTGGTGAGCAGGGGCAATTATCGGGAGCCCGCGTTTAACGCTTGAACAAAATGTCAGACAGTTCAAAGCTGCCTGTCAGTCAGTTTTCTGTATAGATTCACCACTCGAGCTCCCAGGACTTTTCATTGCATATAGCTCTACCTGTGGGGCTCAGAGACAATGGCAGAAAAAAAACAGTGAGCCCCTTATTTATGCTTTACCCTGCCACTGATGCTGCTTTTCAGAGTCCTAAACTACAGTATGTGAAACCAAGTCAGATTTGACAGAGTACACTATGTGAATGCAGCTTTAGTATCTAAGAGGATGTCCATTAATGTGTTTAAGGGTGAACGTGTGAAGCAGAAGATGCAACACAAGTACCTATAATCACAGAGAAAAACATCCTGCGTATTTCCAGGTGTATTATGTGCAATTATCAACCGAGTAAAAAATTTCTGTTACAGTGGTCATATAAAAATAAAAACGGTGACAAGACACCAACTTCTTCCATCTGTGCCACAACTGTTGCCATAGTAACTACTAAATGTGAGTGGAAAACATCACAGACCAATCAAGTTACTGTTATGAAACTACTGTACTTGCTCAAACAGGCAATTAAGTAACAATTAAGACAGGCTGCAAAGTGAGGATGTCGCGCACTAAGTTCATGCCTAAAAATAGTCCTTTGCTATGCTGAAATGTGGTTCACAGAGTCTTCAGTCTCATATTTTAAATGAAAAGCTGAAAATTAATCTTTATAAAACTGATTTAAACACAAACACTGACATTTAATATTGTATTGTATCTTAATATTGAGCATCTTTTTAACTGCGGTGCGGTGGCAGTGATTTCAATCATATTGCCTTGTGCTACTCTACCACCCTCTGCACTGCAGTTTACATTGTATGTGCTGCTGAATCACTGGAGAAGGGAGCTGTGCACAGCATGTGCATCTCCGTTCTCCAAAAGCACAAGTCACTTTTCAGTGCAATCTCTGTGGCAGGAGAGATGAGGTAACCATGGTAACAGGCTACTTACGATGGGGCCTGAGGGACCCTGAGGCCCTTCTCCTCCCTTTAAGCCGGCTGGACCCTGAAAGCAGAGGAGAGGAGAGGGTTAGATCTTGCTCGCTGTGGGCTGCCGCTCAGTGCCATTCAAACAGCAGTCATCACAACTGTCAAATGGGCCTGAAAATATTACTGTGTATGTGTGTAGATATGTACATACCATCACAACTGTCAAATGGGCCTGAAAATGTTATTGTGTATGTGTGCATGTGTGTAGATATGTACATACATGTGTATGAGGAGTAATTTGTCATCTACTACATTTAAAAGGGAGGAAATATTTTTAGTACTTTGACTATATTTTATACACTGTATATACTGACAGTTGATCAAAGATAGGTCCACCCTCTAAGTTTTCTAAAGTTTCAAAAACCCCACTTATAGCTTATTTTTCAGATTTATAGAAGTGCACATAGCTTTGGTTTTGTTTGTCCATGTTTTGCAATGTAAGTGAGAGATGTCTTCTGCCATCCCAGTCTCATCGAGTTGACAGGATTTTAGACCGTGGTGCTCACAGAGAGGGAAAATTACATTTAAAATATCCAACAGCACAAATTTTATTGTGACTACTTTTGACCAATGAATGAAAATTGTTCACAGTGAGGTCTGTGGATTATCCATAGAAAAGAATTCTTTAATATTTCAATGCTATGAGCAGCACAGATGAAATTCCATTCTCAACAGTATTGAGGTGGTGGCGGAAGATAGACATCAAGAAACCTGAACACATAAGACTAAAACTATTTTCATAGTTATATACTGTGACACATGATGAGTGAGGCAGGGCTGCAACTATTGATAATTTTCATTACTGATTATTTGGTCATGCATTGAAATTATCATTTTAACAAGATCTTAAAACATTTACTTAGGTTGTATTTCATCTTTACGTGAGAGAAACTGGCTATTACTATTATTATTAAATTATGATATAGGCTAATCTGAAGGAGTATTTATAGTATCAGTGTAAGAGGAGCCATTACTTGAGCAGCAAAGGAAATGAGAAAGAGAAGGGATGACAACATCGTGAAGCCTGTGGTGGACTACAAGTTCAGGTAGAGTCCATCTATCCCTGGATCCCTGTCATCTCTTCAAGATCCCAGCCCTCGAATGCTTGTGTTGCTGAATCATAGCACCAGGAGGCTGAGGCCGCATACGAAAAAAACAACTCACCAGAGGCAGTAAAGACCTTCATTATAATAACTAATTTACAAGCTCCGACCGAGCCAGGGGGTGCAAAAGCTGCCAAGCATGCTTTCCACCTCCCTGGCTTCCGCATTTTACCGTGGTGCATTAGAAAGCTGGAAGTATCTTTCTTTGCCAGACAAACAAAAAGTTATTTATTGGCTCTTATATTGCTACTGTGGCTTTCCTCAAGACTGAGAGATGAGATGAAACAAGTATGTGGGTGCGTATGTGTGTATTGTACATCTCTATGCAAATCTAAAATAAAAAAAACTATGTGTGTGCATGCTTGCTTGCACAATGTGTGCGTAAGTACCTGCACTCATTCAGCAAACAGAATGAGATTAGCTTTTATGTTCTTGCTCATACAACAAGTGTACACATTCATGTATGGCTGAATAGGATCACTCGAAGAGAGAGTGGGAGGCTGTGTGCTCTTGCGGCATGTGTGTATACTGTAAGCCATTCCTCTGCACACATGGGACAAACATAATGGTGGTAATAAGTCTGGGCACTGCTGTCGTGTGCTCTCTAAATGGTCAGCCTTGAAATGAGCTTCACCCCTGAGTCCCTCAAGCTGATTCTCAGTCAGCCTCTAACAGCCAACCGCTCCAACCTTGAACTTTTCCTCACCCACACCCACTACTTTGGAGAATTAAGTCAGGTTACGCAGCAGGCTATGGTGAATGCAATGTACTCTTAGAGTTGGTGCTTTGAGTCAGAGGGTTTTGGGTCATTCTTCGATTGAAAACAAAAAAACTAAATGGAATTCCTCTGTGAAAATGACATGAAACAAGTGCAGCTCTAAATGCAGAGTTAAATGCCTCTGAAAAGTGCAGGCTACAGCTAATTATAGAGACATTTACTAGCTCAAATGCATTGCCAAAGCCACATTTATGACACACTATAACGTAATTCAACCTTACAAAGATAAATTATGATAAAATATGTCAACAGTGCGTCTGGTTTAGTCCTCTCCATTACTTCTATGTAATTCAGTTTTGTATCTTTTAGCCAGGCCCACTGCCAAACCTGACATTTGGTTTAACAGCAGGTTGATAGCCTGGTAATTGGGTCTGGAGCTAGATTCAGTCTGTTGTGCTCTCAGGATGTGGTATGAGTCACTTCTGTGTGCACATGTGAGTATGTTTGCACGAGTTTATTAATGTCTGACTGTTCTGTGTGTTACCATGGCCCCTGGAAGCCCCCTTGCCCCCTGGAAGCCCCTCAGGCCGGAAGGCCCTGCCTTGCCAGTGAGACCGTGAGGACCTGGATCACCCTAGAGATGGAGACAGAATAATATCCAGGTAATAGTCGGGTAATTATGAAATACCGAGGCACTTTAGGTGAAAATAATGAAGGGAGCCAAATCTGTGAGAAATGCAGAAACAAAAACTATTAAAGTGTTTGATAAAACCTGTAATTGCACCTTATTGCTTCATGTGGTAACAACAGCAACTGATTCAGAAGTAATGGCAAAAAAGACACGACAATTTTTAACAGCCATCTAAGATATAATACTAGAATATAGTTCATACGAAGCAAAGGTACTACTGCATGCCTATTTTTTTAATTGCTGTACTCCTAAATACTATTATTTCAGTTTGTTAAACTAAGACTTCCAGTTCAGTTCTTCTACATTTTGAATTTTTTGATACCATTCATTTTTAATGTGTCATTTTGTTACAGGCAAAATACTGTAAATGGTATAAAATCTCAGAGCTCAAAAAAACGTTTTAAAAACAAGTCTTTGCTCTGATATAAGCTGTTAAAACGTACAATGATAGTACATTTACAGTAACTAGCTGTACAAGTACAGTTACATTTCAGTATAAACACATGCACTGTTCTACATCACTCCAGAAACATGCATGACTTCAGATTTCAGTGTGCTGTTTGAGCTTTCACTGTAATATGACTGCATGGAGCTTTGGCCACAACTCAAAGTGTGTTTTGTTTCTCTTTATTATAGTCATAAATAATATTAGAGTAAATCTGTTATATTTAAATGCAATGGGTGGTTGAAGTGTGGGGATAAAGAGAAACACAATATTTACATTAACCTCCCTCCTAGGATAAAAACAAAGAAGCCAGACACTGATTTCCACTATAGCTCTCTAACATGTACTACTGGGAAAAACACTTAATACATGTCAATATTTACGACTGCTGCACTTTGTTTTTGTTGCATACTAAATACTGTACATGCTTAGTTACCTTTCCACCCTCTTTTCCAGCAGATCCAGGTAGACCCTGCTCACCAGGAGGACCAGGAGAGCCTGGATGTCCTCGCTCTCCACTTGGTCCTGTCTCTCCAGTGGGTCCCTGTCAAAAACCAGAGAGACATATTAGGTCAATACACTATAATGTACCATTTACTATGTGTCTTCACCTGTGTCCTAAAGGAGGTATCATAGTGATACAGTAGAGCTGCAGTACTTTAGATGTTTAAGAAGTTTAACATTTGATACAAGACAACTTTTTTTTAAAACTTACTTTTATTTTGTCTGCTAGTAAACAGAAGTCTAATGAGAGTCTTGATTCAGTATTCATTTTCATTTGTTTCTAAAGACAAAATATCTCTGAAGGCATCCAAAATTATTTCAAAACCTTTTGATGCATCTTGGTTACAGTCTGACCACTGTTTTGCAAGATTCATCTGTTGTTACAGGTACATGCTTAAATATCAGTATCTCATAATTCTCCAAGAACAGACATTAAAAAGTGGGGAGGCAGAACTTAACCACAGAAGTGAAGTGTGCTATATATCTACCTGTGGTCCAACCACCCCTCCAGGTCCTGGAGGTCCTGTCTTCCCTTGGAAGCCCTGAAGGGGAAAACAGATAAATTGCTGACTGCACACAGGTAGGGTTATGTACAGTAGTATGTACCACTTGCTTTGGGCTGTATAATATGTAAAGGGTTTCAGGAACTACATATCACTTGTTAATATGGCTCAATGCTGATGACAGTATATAGGATTTTCAGCCTACCTTATTTTATTTTTGGGATAAATCAGACATTATCTTGTTTGGGTGGAACTTTTTGCAATAAACCAGTCCTTATAAAAGCACACTGTACATTTAGTGCATTACTCAGCTAAGCTCAACTACATTAACTCCAACTTTATTGTCATTCAAATAAAGTACAAGCACTGCTTTGTAATTGAAGACAATGTTGCATAAAAACTTGTACTATATGTTAATGTACCTACTGCTGTGGCATCTAAAACAAATTAAACAGTACTGAGCTGTATATATGTTGAGGCCCCAGCGGCTGGCACTGTGATAATCTTGGTTGAAATCTGTGACCACAGCTTCTGTGACGATGTAATAAATCAGCTCAGCTGTACTGCAGTACCTTTATTCTATTTTCTATTGCTTCCACCTCACTTCCACCCTACAAACACATTTTGTATGCTATTTCAGTTTCATTTTTTGCATAACCTGTCAGAGAGGGTGAAAGACTGAGTATGGAGTGAGTGGGCGCTGATGGGTGATGTGTAGAGTAAAATGGCACGACACAATGCATTCATGGATGAAAGTACCCACTCACCGTCTCTCCTCTCTGCCCAGGATGACCAGGTAGTCCATCTTTTCCTGCTGGGCCCTGGGGGTGAAAAAGGTAGACATTGAAAAAAAAAATCAGGTTGTAAGTGTGTATTAATAATTGAAAAGCTCGTGTAAAAAATGTCAACATGGCCTTGTTGTGGATGGTGCTATCCCAGACAGTTTGACAGGAGCGACTTACATTGGGTCCTTTGGGTCCAGGGAAACCGACCGGACCCTGTGGTCCTTGAGGTCCCTTAAATAAAATGGAAATGAATGGAGTGAGTAAAGAGAAGAGTGGATTAGATACACATCAAGACTTTCACTTGTAAATAGAGTTTAATTAGATTTTAGTTCAATCCAGCTGTAATTGAGAAATAACTGTAAATACCTTTTCAATATAAACATTTAGGATTTTAGCAACACTATTAAGTTTTCTTGTAATTAATTAGCTGATGGAATCAGCAGCTGGAGTACAGGGTTTACCCCGCCCTCTGATTTAAGATGTCACAAATAGCTGCAAGTTTCTTTCGTTAAAATGTAAATGCAGTGCACCTGGTCTACTTCAGCTGTCACTAACTCAGTGCACAAAACTGATCAAAAAATACCCAACACTAACCCTCTCTCCTGGTGGACCAGGAGGTCCATCATTGCCCGAGGTGCCCTGAGGAGAAAGAAAAGCCACAGAGAAACTTGAACTTTGTCAAAACTGTCAAAGTATGAAGTGTGAATAAAATTTATGTAAAGCACTGACACTGAGGTTACACAGAAAAAGATGTTTGCACATTCATATCTCTTGAGCTGGCACTCACGAAAGGTGTTTTACTGTATATGATTTATGTATTATTTTCCTGTCTTATGGGATACACAGCAATAGCATAGCCCACTTTTTTATATTCCTGAATATTTACCAGTAAGCAAATTTGACCTGTTCTACTTTTTAATTAGAGCTAGCTCCCTGAGGCACATTTTACTGCTGCTACCTCAAAATAACAAAAGTATGAACCATATGTTTCCTGTTACTAAGATACTGTATGTTTTGATCCATGCAGCTGTAAATGGTAAAAACCAAAACAGCTCAAATTATTCAATAACAACCCAGCAGACACATCAAATGTAATATACAAACTACTGTATGGGTTAAAGCTTTGCTCACTTAACTCTATATATGATTTTAAGCATGTATAATACATTCAGTGTTATTGGCTACATTTAAATACTTAATGTTAAATACCTTTGCACCTGGTTTTCCTGTTGGTCCTCTTGCACCACGCCCACCACGGGGACCCTAAACACACAGTATATAAAGTATTACAGTCACTGTAGGGTAAGTAAAAGCTATTTTCAATATTTTATTTTGCATTAACAAAATTATAAAAACACAACAATATTACATAAAGGGCAGGTACTTAATGTTTAGTGCGCTTTCTGTCTATCTCTGAAATTCCTCCTTCAATGCATATCTGCTTTAAGAGACAATAAAATAAAGCCCATATACTGTATAGCTACATAAGGAAGAGATTTTCATTTGAACACTATAAATCATTTATGTGGATGGGTCGGGCTGTGTCGGCAGACAGTTGAAGTGCCTACCGTTGGGCCACGCTGTCCCCTGGGGCCAGATTTGCCTGCGATTCCCTGAAAAGGAAAAACAAAAGTTTGATTTAGCACAAAATGATTTCTTGTATCATCAACCATTATGAATACTTTTTCATCACTTTGCAGAAACTTAAGTTGAAGCAATTCTATAAAACAGATACACTCAAACCACCAGACAGACACAAAAACTGAGGGAGTTTGAGTCAGGGATTAAATAGGACCATCTGAGCATCTTTGAACAAAAATAATCAAATTCTTGTGATAAGTGGTTACCCACAGGCACCTGACAGCCTGAACTACCTGTCAGTTCTATCATGCCGGGGCCAGGAGTGTCTGCCTCTCAGCGTCTGTCTGAGAGAAGAGACGAGCTTGTCTTGTCAACAATAAGCCTCTCTCTCCTTCCTTCTTCTCTAACCCTTTTCAACTGGACCCACTCTACAGGTACATTGACATAGCTGAATACAGTTGTCAGTTCTACCTTGAATGCTAAGTCTTAATTACACTGCATGCCAAAATGTATTTGGACGCCCTTGTTCCCTGGCTTTTTTGTATTTAATTTTCTAGGACGATTTTTTTAATGGTTTGTACTAAGCTCCCTAGCTCCAATTATGGCAACTCTTAATGCTACATCACACAGTATTTATTTTAGACAATATTGTGCTTCCAACTTTGTGACAACAGCTCTGGGAAAGCCCCTTCCTGTTTTAAAATAACAACGTTAAGTACAGACAATAATTGGTTTGTTTGGTGTGTCTTCAACTTTTCAGACATATGCACTGGAACCCTGAAATTATCTAGACATTACCCAGAGGAGCTGCATGTGAGAAGGCAAATGTCCGAGTCGGTTGACTGGACTTTACTCTGCCAGTTCCCTAGTAATGTCAAGGAGAGCCAGAGTGAGCCCATGTAAAGAAAAAAACCAGCCTCGTACAGACTGAGGTATTCACACCAAGCTAGTGGGTGTGTTGGCATGAAACCAGAAGAATACAGACATCTGATGGTAACTAAAATATCGAACTGGAGACACAACAAGATTTGGGAACTTCCCTTGTCTGCTGGAACCAGAATCATCAGACAAATTTAAGGTACATCAAGAAACTTTCTGTTCACTCCCCCCCCCCCCCATAACCAAGAACACGTCTGACACCTCCTGTTGTATGCTCCATGTGTGAAAGGGCAACTCTGAACAAAGTGGCCTGATTCTGCAAGTTCATATATGAAAACGGCATTAGACGACTAAGATGCTCTGACTATACTATGGTTAAGTATTTTACACAATCTACACTCGCAGTACTTCCCTTTGCTAAGTAGCCCTCAGTGACTCAGTGTACATATCTTTAAATGAAGTTTGTGACTCACCCTTGCACCCTTCTCGCCGTTTGCCCCTGGGAATCCAGGGAAGCCATTGGAGCCCTGTAAGACACACAGAGAAGAGGTGTGAAAGGAAGAAGTGTCAGACAGAAGAAATGCATTACAGAGTTAGAGGGTATGAAATAAGACATGTCTACCATAGTGCAAGCCAAGTAACAGTGTCATAGATGTTGAAATGGCCATAGCAGAATTCCTTCCTTGCTTGTTGCTTTACTAAGGCTAATTAATCAAGAAAGTGTGAAGCCCTATTGTAAGTCCTGCCATACTAGCCAGCAATGTTATCACAGGGCTGCAGTTTATAATTTAAGAGCTCATAAATAAATGAACACCTTCTTTAAATACTTCAAAGGAGCACAAAGAGGGGAAGGTCTCCTTCTCACCTATTAGAGACTTTCTGACACACAGACAAATAGAGGTGCTATTAGGTTGTTAGCACAGTTAGAAAGCAAAATAGAAGATAACACTGGCAGCAAATAAAGACAAAAGAAGGGGAAATGGCTTATCCCCTTTGATACACATCAGCAATGTAGTGATTGGGCTTTTGCAGGCTGTGCCCTCTGACAGTCAGACAAATACTTTGAAGGCAATCACTGCTGGATGAATAAAATGAGTACTAAGCAGCTTAGACATGAAGCCTAATTTGATGAAGCATTAGGTAGGATAAATACAGTATATATTCATCCTATCTAAGTTAAAAATATGCCTCAGCTATACAGTGAAACCCAGTGTATGCCTGGGTGTTTTCTTTAAAACAGTGTGTGATGCAGTGCACCTTTATGGTGCTCATTACTCCGCACATGCGTATGTATATGAGGCATAATACTGTGCAGCATGAGCAAGGGCACCACAGCAAGGTAACGTGGGCAGAATTGCAAGATACTGCAAAGTAAACAGCCCAACACTGTGGAGACAGCAGGAAGAGAGATCTGTTCTAGTTAATTTGTTTTTCACAGAGGTGCAGTTATGGAAAACTGAAAGGAAACCTGGTATTGGACAAGCCTGACTTGCGCCACAGAGATAAGACAGTCCATTGAAGCTATTGCAAATGGCATCCAGAATTAACGGGGTGGGAAGGCTGTTAACAGAGAGTGATGGGGCGCAGAAGCCAAAAACATAGCCAAAGGATTCATGCAGAGGCTGATTCAGGGGGATAAAGGCTGCAGACAAGCCAAGACTTTGACCCTGAACCGACTCAGGAGGACACTGTGACATTTTACAGCACTGATGATACTTTTCATTGGAAACATGGGCTTTTTTTGTTTCTAACTCACAGAGTAAACCACACTTTATCTCTTTAATTTGATTAATCCACTTATGGAAAAATTAACATGAAGCTTCTCTCATATATAAAGTGAAGCATTTTTAAAAATTTAAAGGACTAACTCTATAAAAGCAGACTCATTATAAGTTACCACAGACAGCTTCACACTTTGTTTCAACTTAGAGTGGATGCCAAAATGCTGGATATCCATTTTTATAGATATGTTTTTAAAATTCAGGCAGTATATAGGAAACCATGGCACTGTCAAAGTCAGAATGCCTAGTCTCTCCAAAAGCGTTGTTTCCGAAACATATATACTCTAAAATAGGAACTGATCCTGGGCTCCACTTGGACTATTTGTGGGCAGCTTTAAATTAAATCTATTTATGGATACAAACAATGACGCGTCCTTTGTGTTTCTGCCATCTTTGCTATTACTGCATGTGTTTACTGCATATTTACAAAACTGATTCTAAATTGATGTGAAATTCCCAATAATTAACCCAAGTGAAATAATTTCAAATTACTAGGACTAATGGTTCCATGTCATTTTCTCTGTCTGTCCCACTTTGTGTTACTTATCCAGGTCTCTCAATTTGTGCTCAGCTGGAGTAGGAGACTTGCCTGTCTAGATGTGGTGAGAGCATGTGTATCTGATCCATCATATCAGCACCAGGCTGTCAGTGCTGACAGCAGCAGAAAGGATCCAGCTGCAGCAGCACATCTTGACAACGAAGCGCTGGCTCAATGGTCAGCGCTACAGTGCAAGGAATGCCAGACTGTTAGATAATGGCTGCAAGTGTTTAAGGAGGAAGGACAGCTGATGACTCCGGCAAGTGACCATGTTACTTAGGCTTCCTTCAAGAGTTGTGGCGAGATTAGAATAGGCGCCCGCTCAGGTTTGTGTTTATGTTAATAAGGGTTATTCAGCAAATAAGTAGGTTTTAGAAAGGCATGTCAGAGCAACTTTAGCTATGAGATGATGCTGACTGTGGCTAAAAGGCTATAAAGTCAGAGAATCAACAGAGATATACACTGATCAGCCATAACATAATGATCACTGACAGGTGATGTGAATAACACTGACTATCTCGTTACAGTGGCACCTGTCAGTGTGTGGGGTATATTAGACAGTAAGTAAATTCATCTGATTTGTACTTTTGCAATTTAACTTTGGCTCATGTCACATTCACTAACACAGAGGAAGTGGGATTTATGACATATTCTGCAACCAACCACCAGGGGGCGATCACGTCGCAGTGGGTTCATTTCCGAGCGTTGTCAGGGCATCCATGTTGTCTATGGTACAGTCTTAATAATCTCACAATGAAACACATCTCATAGGGAACACAGAGACTATCTGCTCACACTGCTATGATGACAAACATCTCCTCTGCTGCTCTGCTTTTGACTAAGGCACTGAACGCCTGCATGCAGCCTGCCCCGATTTCTGACCTGCCAGATGATCAGGGGCACGGACAACAAGACTTTTTCTACATTTATGCACTCACATTCAGTTAAGTTCTCTCATCACATACCTTCGGACCTTGTCTTCCAGGGTACCCAGGTAAACCAGGGACACCAAGTTTTCCCTAGCAAGGAAAACAAAACAAAGATGTTAATTCTTAAGGAGACACAGGAGACATTGTTGAAGACTGTTCACAGAAGCACCGAAGAAAGCAATAAATTTATAACCATAAAGTTTTATTTCTGGTGGGGCCTTTTTTAAAATATGTTTATGCAATAACATCATCTGTCCATTGTGGTCATTTTAAAAGGTGCATGGTCATTAAGAACGACACTGAAGCTGATGAAACGTCGTTTGTGCTTTTAAAACAAGGTCATCAGATATTTTTATTCTGATTTGTGTAAGAATCCTGATTCTGGTGATGGTAATTTGTACATCTACTGTACTGTTACACTAATTTTAAGCAACCAGCAAAACATGGAATGTATGATTGATATGTCAGTGATAGTATTAAAAAGAAAACTGATCTGCAGCCTGAATTTGTTAATCTGTATGGCAAATGGGGATTTCAGTTTTATTAAACGTTAAAAATAGTTTGCAGATAAATTTTAGATAAATTCCCTTTTGTGAATGATTTTAATTATTTATTTACTTTCTATTTTATACACAGTTGATGATTTAACAGCTGCTCCTGGCTGGGGTCATTACTGTCATTTTTACTGTATGATGTCATTTTAAATGTGTAAGAAGATGTGCTGTATAAGAAAACAGTTCATTACTCAAAACCCGGCTTTCTTCAAGATGGCTACGTAACTCTCATAAACAGTTGTCCCCAGAGTTTTGGCTTTCCACTTGACTTCATTAAATACATCTGTTGTTAGATCCCTATCACTCTGTCTGGTTTTAAATCCCACTGCACAGCGCTACAACAGCCCTGGCCTTCCTTCAGTATTTATCAATGAGTGTCTTCTTATATATACTGTACTTTAACATTTTATTACTCTTTAAAACTCTATTATAATAAACAATGCTATGCAATTAAACTCCAGCAGGTCAATAAAACACATTAATCAATTAAGGAAAATTCAGTCTTTGCTGGCCCAGATTATTTACCTTCTCTCCAGCTGATCCAATGGGACCAATTTCTCCACCAGGCCCCGACTTGCCCTTGGGGCCCTCAGGACCATCCTCTCCCCTGGGTCCTGCTATACCAACCTCACCCTGGATGCAAAGAAAAAAATGTCACAAAAGTGGATTTCTGTACTGGCTTCTCATTTGGTGCTTTTGTTGCTGACTCACCTTGTCACCCTTGAGACCCATGTCTCCTTTGAAGCCAGGAAATCCATCTTCTCCCTGAAGATGAAACAGATTAATGTAATATTGTTTAGAGGAGAGTGCTTTATCCAGAATTTCAGAGACAAAACCAATATTTTCTAGTTTCACATACTTTACAATAGCAATTAAGAGGAACCATGACTGACAACAGTTCAGGAAAGTTTGTCGTGGCAGTTTTACAGTAATGTAGAGAGAAGTATAGAGACTCCTCAGGACAGATTAATACAGACATCTAGTGGCCACTTAAATTCACATCAGCAGTTTGGAACTAATGGCTCAGTCTCTCTTTCACTATGTTATTCTACTGACATCTGGTGGTTTAAATTGAGAATGCAGTTTTCAGTCAGAGTTCACTACATATTACAAACTTGAGCCAGTTTTCTTATTTATTTTTATGCCTGAAACTACAAAGATAATAAATCACAATACAACTAAATGTTATGAGCATACAACCTGAAACACTGGGACTGGTAAAATAGCTTTCACAAAGGATTTTATACAAGACAGAAGTGTCAAAATGGAAGAACTTTTAACAACATATTCAGTATTTGAACTAATCTCTGAAGAAGCTTCAATTTCTGGACAGATACACAGTGGCACTGAGGTAGCAACAAGCTATGTTCGCCCACAGCAGTTCAATGCCAACCGATCAATCTCCACTGAAATGGCCCTACAAATGGCTTCATTCTAGTTTAATGTTCCACACTCCATTACAGCTTGGTGGCAGGCGAACTTAACTGCCAGCCTGATGGGCCTTTAAGAGTTTTTCCACTGGCTGGATTCAAAGGAAGCCTCATTTGAAAAGGAATTACAACTCTGATGGGTCTGTTCTTGGAGGACTGACATCTGTCCACCATGCTGAAGAAAAAGAGGAGGCCGGACAGATGTTTACCTTTTCTCCTTTGCCACCTTTAAGACCTCTGATGCCCTCAGCACCCTGGAGAGAGAGACAATTGATTCAAGATGAGATTCAGGAGAAAACAGGAATTTCTGAAACTGTATGACTAACGTAGCACTTACTTTCACACCACGAGGCCCAGGGTAGCCGATGGATCCAACAGGACCAGGAAGACCCTAAAAGGTCATATGATCAGTGAAGTGAGTCTTACTGTAATTCACATTAACCTATACCGCAGTGTGTCTCTGCTGTAATAGATAATGTACACTGAGGAATTTCCCCTTGATTTCCAGTTATTTTACAATGACTTTATGCTGTAATGACCCCCGACCCCCACCCCACCCAAAGCCATCTGGGACCTACATACTGTATGTTAAAAATACAAAAGCCACAAATAAACCAAAGTAAATGGACAGTGTCATCTAATGCAATATCAAATACAAGAACAAAAATTCTGGCAGATGCACAAAAACTAATGTTAGCCAAGTTCAAGCTAGCTAATATTACAGCATTTCACTGTGACAAAATTAACTCTGATATTTTAGTACTGAAACATTTTTGTCAGGTTTTACATGAAAGGGATAATAAGATAAATAAATAAATGGGTTAAACTCAAATCCAAACTTTAAAAAAACCCATAACATGAAGTGATTTTGCCTCAGTGCAATCAAATGTTCTGGTACAAGTAATTTGAATTATGTGTCTCATGTATCTGTTGTTAAAATAATTTTATCATTGCCATGTCTGAAACTGAGGATTTCAGAGCAATATCTCTGTCTAAATATTGAATATAAAAAACTCACTGTATTCTATTTCTGAGACAATTTACCTGATGTAGACCTTCCGGTACATGCCAAATGCTAAGCGTAATTATTTACACAGCGTAATTATTTATTTACACTGACCCAGCTTGTGCAGCGACACATTTGTGGCATCTTTAAGAGCAACTGTTCCACACTGTACTGTAAAATCTAAATCGGCTACCAAACTACATTTAATTCTATAATACTTACAGCTGCTCCTTTCTCGCCTGGGGGGCCTTCTTTCCCTGGGTGGCCCTAGAGCAGTCAGAAAAATAATTTATCAATAGGTCAGTGTTGTCCATTGGTATTTTGTCTGAATGATGTAAAAACAAGGAAGGAGTCAGCTGGCCTACTTACAGGAGGGCCGTCAGCACCAGGAAGGCCAGCCAAACCTTGTTTACCTTGAGGACCCTACAGAGAGAAGATAAAGACAGATAACAGATAAACTGTTACGTATAGCCACACAACCTCTCAAAGATACTTTCAATAAAGCAAAGTCAAGTTCTTATGCATGAGTACTCATATAGTAATGTGTACACATATTGTGTGTGTGTGGTTTTTTTTTAGCCATCACTGCTGTGCAGAGCAGTCAGTAAAGGCCTGAGACCACAGAAACTGCAGAATCAGTTATGAGGTCTTGACTGAAACACTGATTTACTGGGCTGAGGTAGAAGAACTGAAGGGAAGACTGGGTTCCTTCTTCACTTACCTTTTCACCAGGAGGCCCGATTGGACCTTGAGGACCAATAAGACCCTGAAAGACAATGAAAATAGATAGGTCACAACAGTAAGTAATTTTGCTGTTTTCCATCATCGGTCTTACATGATATTCAAAATGTGCATTTAGGTAAACAAGCACCTGTTTGCACGGTGTGTGCTGTATTATTTTCTAAAGTTTTCAGCTTCTTCTTTCTACAGCAATTGTTTTTGTAGGTTGTCTACATCATGCTGCCAATTCCGATGTGCTCAGAGTTTCTAAAGCCATTTTAAAGTCTTACATCTTCAGCTTCTTGAGATTTAAAAAATATTATTATTATTATTAAATGACTTCTGTTCCTTTTCCTATGGGCCAATGCCTTTGCTGGATGGCATCAATGTGGCTCTGGCCAGGTGTAATGAAAATGAAAAAGTTATTTATTCAACCTGTATGCCATCAGAATAGATTCCTACTAATACTTTCCTGGAGAATGACGCATCCTCTCCAGGCTGTGGCCGTCAGCAGGACTGAAAGTGCTACCAGCCAACAGTCAATCACTCATGGCAATGGCTACAATATGGGGAGTACTGCTTGGTATTAAAGATGACTTCAAAATGCAATATTTTTACTGTGTCACCAAATGGACATTGGATCCTAGTTATCAAATGAACACAGTATGTGCCATCTCAACAGAACAGAGAGATTTTTCTTCTATCTGGCAGCAGAGAAACAATGTAGGTGAAAACTTGTAAAATCTTTGCTCTATTTTGTTGTGAATTCTGTGGAATTCTCTACAAAGTGGTAGAGACCTAAGGAATGAAGGATGAAGAGAAAGAAGGGAGAGCAAAAGTCTACAAACACTTGATTAAAAAAACAGGAGTGTGAATGACCATTTCAGTTCATAGCACTCCCCAGTGCATGTGACAATGAGAATGAAAAGGACAGATTTGTAGCAGGGGGGAAAAGGAAGAGAGAGTGGGAGACAGAGAGACCAGACAGGGTTTAAAATGAGGAGAGAAACTTACATGTGGACCAGGCATACCCTGCTGCCCAGGAGGCCCTGCTTCTCCTTGTGGACCCTGTACAAAACAGAAAAAGTAAAGGATGCAATTAATATTTTCAGTCACTGCAGCTGATTCTATCCTATTTGTTTCATACAGTAGTATATAGTAAAATAAACAATACTGCTAAATTCATATACATTTAAATTAAAAGCCAATGTATGTCTAAAGGCAATGAATGGTAAAACTACCAGAACAATGCACTGAATTTAAAGATATATCTTTATGTGAATAAAGGATAGATGGACTTTCTCCATGACAAAATACTGTGGTACTGGGTTTGGTGAAAACTTTGAGTGACTTTGCTTGAGTAGACTGGTTGAACTGGCTTTAGCAGATCTGTGAAACAAAAAAATGCAAATGGAGGGGAGAAATGTGATATAGCACACTGGCTCATGGAGCAGAGCTGTCTGCAGAGCCAGCCCTAAAATCTGGTGATTGCTGACAATCATAAGTTTGGCAATGAAGCACTGCTTTTTCTAAATACACACTGTGGTGCTACAGAACCACCTGGGTATGGAAGAAAGGTATTAAGACTAACTGGAAATGGTGGGCTGTCTGGCATCTCTGTTGAGATTTACCCTGTCACAAACCAAACCAAACATGCTGTACTGAAAACAGACAAGGCCCTAGTGAATTAGTCAGCTCCAGATGTTACAACAAACACCAAATACAAATGCTGCATTGAGAGAATGTTAGGATGCCTCACTGTGATTGTTAGTGGTTTTGAGTGCAAAATTATAATCTGAGTTTATATGACAGATCCAAATGGAGGCAATAAAACATATAAGTTCTTCATGTATACAGGATGGTTAAGTGCTCTTTCAAACAGCTGTTTGTTTCTTCATCTGCAGTGACTCCTTGGCCACAGACAGCATGTGGGTGTGTCCACCCATCTTGACCAATGATCTTAACCTCATTTAAATGTCCCACTGAGACGCTGATGGGAACAGGAGCAGACAGGCTTTTCTTTTACACCCTTTACTAATGCTTAAGATTTCTTCATCATGGCCTTTTCAAATCAGCAGACTTTGTTTTATGGAAAATATCTGAGAAGAATGGCAAAATGCTCCCTGCTGCCATCGGCCATCACTAATATCAGCAAATGAGCTATCTCCATTCTTGCTAAGTTACAAAGGGGTTAAAGGTCATTGAATGGAAGCGGGCAACCTCAGACATGCTGATTGTTTAGGTAGTTTTGACAAATGTGTGCAGGAAAACTCACTTTATGATAATGTGATGTTATACTTTCCACAGATGAATATATAATAAAACTCACCATGTTTCCTTTGGGACCAGCTTGTCCATCAACTCCAGAAAGCCCCTAAAGACATCAAAATTTGGCAGTTTATAATTAACATCTCATTGCACTTATAACACAAATAAAAGCTGTGTGAGAATTAAGTGACACAGATGCTTACATGTTGTCCTGGAGGACCTGGAGACCCTCTGGACCCAGGTAAACCTCTAGGACCCTATATATCGAGACATTTACCAGTCAAAGAAAATGATGTTAATTGAAGGTTAATTTCACTGACACTGTGAACTGCATTTAAACATATGGTGACAATTTAAAAAAGACATAATATACAGTACACTGGATGCATTGAAAATCCCTGACATGATTGACTTGAATATGCAACACTGGCCTCATGTGGTCATATGTGGTAACTGCAATTGCAATTCAGGGAATGAGCGTTTTCTTATCTCAAAATGTTAAGCCACACACTTAAAATCTATGCATTTACTGTGCTCTTTTGTCTTATGGATGCTGTGTGATGAAATGCTGTGCAACACTGCTGTTTTTGTATGACAAGTTGCTAACCATTTCTCATACAACTCTATGGTTCATTTAAACTGAACTAAGCAGAATATGGCAGTTTCTCACAGGCAATGACAGACTAACACATTACTTAGTTTTATTTTCTGATCTATTATTTAAAGCCATTCTCACTTGGCAAGATTGATTTTACAATGGTCTTTGCAGACAGGAATGCATTAAAGTTGCAAAAAGAGTGGAGGGTGAGGCTGCGTGCTTAAATGATTGCCAAATTGAATCTTGGGGTAGGAATGAGGGAATGAAGCCTGTGGTAGCAAAGGAAATGAGTAACATGGCTTTTAAAAAAAAAATTATATTCTTATCTTTGACTTGTTACAGTATAAGCAGCACTTGAACAATCCTGTCTCACTGTACTGAGAGAGAATACTAATAACCACAACTTACACTGTCCCCAGCTATACCTCTTTGCCCAACCTGGCCATCTTCACCCTTTGGATATCATGAAAATAAAGTTTGGTTATTTTTGGGAATACAGAGTAACTGTGTAGACAGAGCTAAGAACAGGATAAGTTATATGATGGCTTAGGTGCTACTTACTCTTGGCCCATCCTCTCCTGGTGGCCCTGGAGGACCCGTAGAGCCTATTTCTCCCTGGAGAGAAAAGATCACAGGAAAAGAGGAAACGAAATATCAACATAGAATGGGAGTGGCAGAGTCAAAGGAGAGTTCACAGCTCATGGAGTGTCCATAAGCTTGGTCCCTGCAACTAACAGAAAAAAAAGCTCCTCATTTTTACTTTTTAAAAATGTTTTTTGAAAAAGAAGAAGAAAAAAGAAAAGAAAACAGACAACAAAACTGCCTTTCATTTACAATAAGCTTGGTCACCACAACTGGCATGGACTATATGTGTTCTACTATTTATAGTGCTCTATAAGCACTGGCCTGCTTCTGGTGGCTCTGTAATTATTCAGTATAGGATAAAGCATGAAAGCCTGTCTAGAAAAACCTCCCTGTGATCTCAGTCCTCTCTCTTTCAGCTCTCTGTGCAGGCCCAAAATCCACAAACACCAAACTCAGCAATCCTCACTCACGCCTTGGCCTGGTTAAGTGGTTCTGGAGTCCTACTTCTAGTAATTGGGTCAAATACCCTAATAAGTTCTACTGGTTCAGAATTCACATCTGTCAACACTGGAATGTACACGAAATGGATGGGGCCATTGAGCTACCAATAAGCCCTGATACTGCTGTAAAAACTGTGTAGCGATGACGATGATCAAAGAGGATTTGGCACTAGAAATGAAAGAGATAGTAGGTTTTTATATTTGGAAGCAGAAGTCTTTAATAATGTTTGTCTTCTGCCCTAACTTGTTCACTAGACCCAGAATTCTCTCTCATACTGCTTACTCTGTGTCCCTTTTCTCCAGGAAGACCAGGGAGGCCATCAAAACCTCGGTCACCCTGAAACAGCATGAAAACAAACGTTAGCTCTATTAATCAATCTGGCAGGTGTCACTTTTTCAAACATAGTAAAGCAGCTTTTAAAGGGCAGCCCACAGACACTGGTTCACTGGATAATGGTCTGTGCTTTACCTTGGGTCCTGCCTCTCCTGGAATTCCTCGAGCACCATCTGCTCCATTACGACCCTGGAGGACACACAAATATCACGTAAGGCTGCAGCACATGGAACTCACAGAAAAATACTCAAATCTCTTTAATGTCCGTGGAGAATAAACACAGGGAAGATTCTATAATGTCTCTAACTAGACTCGCTTTACACAACATGCAGAGATGATTACTTTATTTGGGCACTATAGCACTGAGCCTTAGACCCCTGTTAGCCTGAAATATTAGAACTCTGGGAATTTAAATGTATACTTCTGTTGTAACAGTTTTGCTCTGGAGGAGAAAAATCAATAAATGTAATAATGTATAAAAATCTCCTGCTTGAAGCAGGATAAAAAAGTATTCTTACCCTTTTTCCTGATTTTCCCGAAGGTCCAGGTGGACCCTGAAGACCTCTGGGACCCTAATGAGAAGAAATATAAAAGTAGATACAACAGTAAAGTCAGAGGTTTCTTCCGTTAAAAGGACTTTTTCTTTCCCACTGTCACAGAGTGCTTGCTCAAGGATGTAAAGTCCCTTGAAATTATTTTGTTGCGATTTGGAACTATACAAATAAAAGTGAGATGAACTGACGTAGACAAGTTGAAAAAAGAAAGCTAACTGTATATAGCAAGAAAAAATCAAAAAGAAACCATATTTTCAACAGGGGTATATAATCTACTCATGACAACACAGAATTGTGATGAAAATGGGCTCATTATGTAAAGATACTCTTCTCACCTGTGGTCCGGAGTCGCCACTGTCACCTTTAGGTCCAGGAGAACCAGGACCTCCCTGTCAAAACAAATATAATATACCATTACAAGACAGTCACACAACTTTAGCAAATTAATACACTACCAGTCAAAAGTGTGGACGCACATTTCCATTTAGTGTGTCCAAACTTGTGAGTGGTAGTACACATCTTCAAGCAAAATATTTTATCATCCGCTTGTTTAGATCAAAACAAAGTCTAGTTTTGGACTAGAGCCTAATGCTAACCCAAACACACATAATGATTTTAAATTTGGATTAAGAATATACAACAAATAGAGCTCCATGTGTGCTAAATCCCTATGGTATCCAAGAATAACTGGATTGGCGTATCATCATATGAAAACATGCCCAAGACAGGAGGAATAACTGAGCTATTATCAGTCCTATTATGAGCTGTTTGTGTTATATACTGTATAACAATAGTATACAACAAGAGTTATATACTGTTTTTCTTTAGATCAACCATTCAAGCTGCTTAGGGATTTATGGAATAAAATAAAATCACCTCACAAGCAGACAGGGAAGAGAGTGGTGTGTGTATGTACATGTAATTGTTTGCTAGGAAATGATAAGTAAATGCACAGGAGGCAGCTCTAATAACATAATGTGTTTATGATACAACTCTGAATGAATGGGAAGCAGCTCAGTGGTGTGTTTGTGCTTGTGTGTAGGAGGGAGATAACATCCTACTCACCACAGGACCAGATCTTCCTGCCATGCCCGCTGGCCCTGGAGGACCTCTCATTGTAAGCTGTGGATCAGACAGAAAAAACCCATAAACCACTGGTCAGCAAACAGTGTTGACATTCCTGCATCTACATCCAATAATGTATCCAAAAAACATTGTTTCAACCTCTATTACAAGGAATTAGGATAAGGTATGTTTTGTCTCAGAAGTGTATGTTTGCATATTGCAAGGTTTTCTTTAGAATCACTGGCATCTAGTCATGTGACCTTGAGACCATGTATTCCGTCTGTAATGAAGATACAATACTATTAATACAGTCAAACTTCAAATAACAGAGTAAGCTGGCTTTATCTTTTATGTTTTTAATCTTGTTATCAAAAAGAAGACCATCATTTGCCATATTTTTGTATTATTAGTACAGCAAAATGAATATGGTATGAATGTTAAAATGGAAGACCTGTAACAATGAGATTGAAACAACACAGCATTCATCCATCTAACTGGACACCAAAAGGGGTCTGCAGATAATAAAGAAACCCCTCATAAAAAATCCTTACCTTTAGACACATAGCATGAAGCCTTAGCAAACTTTAATTTGTCCTTGTTCACAGTTTACCACTCTGGTCTTTGCTCCCTTTTATAATCAACAACAGTGTGGTACTGCCAAAAAAGTTGTCTGTAATTTATTTGCAGACTGATTACTGAATAAATAAATCTGCTAATTCAAAGGAAAACAATTCATGCCCCATGGTACACTTAGCACTCTGTCGAATCTCATTAGCTACTGTGATCACTTTTTGCAGGCACGAGGAACACAAATGAATACACTACTGAGCATTTACAGACTGCAAATAGCTCAACAAATTGTCTCTATAATAAAAGATAAAAGACAAATATGGAAAGGTGACAAGTGGTTTCTGGACATTACTAAACACCAGTTCTGGCAGCCCTCCAGCTTCACAGAGTGTTGTGAATGTGCGAATATTCATTGTTTGTGCAACACTTAATGATCTCCATGTGTTCTACGTAGATCACACCTTGGTTAAAGCTGCATATTTCAACCTGTTTGTCAACACTGCTTTGGGCATCAGGACTCCTGAGTAGGTGTGAACATCTGCTGTGGCTTTATATACCACCTAACGTGACACAGGTTTATTTTTATCACTTTTCCTTTCACTTACTGGGTCACTTATAAGTTTTCTTTTTACATTATTTGGACCACAGTTTTTTTTAATAGCAGCTAATGAGAATACATCAAGACATAAGATCATATTGACGTGTCCTCTATACTGTTTTTTCCAGATATTTTTGCACATTTTGTGCCTTTTGTTGAAAGTACATCGTGGAGAGACAAACAGGAAACCATGGAGACAGAGAGACACCTGGGATAAATGTTGGTGTTGCACCGTGCCGTAATTGCTTGGCCACAAGATGCCCCGTACTGGGGTCATATTTACCACTGATACCCACCCTAGCCTGAGAAAGGATGGCCTGAGCCTGAGCTTCTTGGGCTGTAATCACAGGTCCCTTGTGTGCTTCGCCACCTGCACGGAACTGTCAATCACAAAACACAAGAAAGAAGCAGAATTAAAAACAAACTGACTTGTCTATTTTCACAAAGTGAGACATCTAAAGGTCTCCCCTGGTGAGCACATTCAAATCTGTGCTCTGCACTGTTAAACCTATAAAGCTGTCACTATGCCATCTACACACTTTCACACATACATATGCTGGTACAAGCAGCTTACACACATAAATGTGTCACAGAGCCTTTCAAAGCTTCAGTCACTGGTTCAGAACCACTGCACTTGCTGGCATTTACAAAGTAAGTGATTTGTAACCCAAAGAAAATAAGGCTGCAATCCTTTAGCATACGAGTGATGTGATGAGGTAAAGCTTACTAAATGAAGCGAGGTGATGGGCTAATGCCTGAGATGAAGTGTGTACAGTATGTGAGGGAAACATGACAGCTCAGTGGGCACACAGAAAGTGGCAGGACTTACTGGAAGCATCAGAATGGTACCTGGAGGCCCGGGGACACCGTCTGAACCAGGAATACCAGGACGCCCTGGAGGACCCTGGAGAGTCAGAGGAGGGAGAGAGAGGCGTCACTGTGAAAGTGTAATTCAGCTGGAGCTGAGGTCAACAACCAAACCAAAGTATATGAAATCTCCATTATCTACAATAATGCTATTCAAAAGCACTTGTACAGTATTTGTTTTTAATATACCAACCTCAAATCACCAAATTGTTTTGTTGACTTGTACACCAGTGTGTAATGTTGCTAGGGACAATTAATTTGATGTGGCTAATAAGCATGCCGTATTTTCCCGTGAGATAACAGTATTATTTTGCAATTTCTCTATAATCCCTTGGAGGTCTTCTATAAATTGAAAAGAAAAAAATGATAACAAAAATTAATTCACAGCAGTTTATTCACAGCAGTAATTTCAAAAGGGAAGCCCTTTGCTACAGTCTGCATTGTTGTTGCTTATTCCAAACAGATAAATGACTAATCCTACTGAAAGAACAGGATGGGGAATTCAGTAATGAGCAAAGACAACCCATGTATTTTTCTTAAGCTGGCCTGGGGTATTGCCTGCAGGGGAGCACTGACTCTATACCCTAACAACCCACAGCCATGGCCCTGTGAAGCTCATTAGGTTCCAGAAAACCAAACAGTTGGATGGATAAAAAACGAAGAGAGAGTTCTGCTATTCTTAGATTTTCTTGTCTTAACTGATTTACGTCTGATTTAAATGTGTATTGTTTTTAATGCTGTTACTGTTTTTCTTTGCCTTTGTAAAGCACTTTGAATTGCCTCTGTGTATGAAATGTGCTGTATAAATAAAGCTGCCTTGCTTTGCTTGGATGCTTACCACAAATGGGGCAAAAATGTTTGGCCTTTGGGTGGCACCAGAGTGATTGCATTGTTACATAAAATTAAAAAGGATGCTTTTTTTTTTTTTACGGGGCTATTTTAGGACATCTCAGACTCAGCTTGTTAGACTTGACTAAACGTCCATCAGTCTAAGCTATAATTTGTCACCTTGAGGTTCTGATTTGTTAGACCTCAGCTGTATTTCACATCCTCATCTGTACTCTGTCTGGGTCCCGATGTCTCTCTGCTTTATGCTAACATTAGCATGCAAACTACAGAATCACATATTTACACGCCTACTTTAGTATGTTGACAAGAAAACCACTTTAATCATGGGAAGTTTTGAGTGCTTGCATGCTGTGTTAGCATTAAGCTCAAAGTACAGCAAAGGCTGAGGGGAGTCTGAGAGGAATACTGCCATGTGCTAAAGTGTTGGAACAGGTGGAAAAGCATGTTCTGGGTCATTAGGATTCAACTTCTGGGCAGCAAGAATGTCTGTAAATGGCAATCTATCCAAACGTTGTTGAGATATTTTACCTACGGACCGACTGACATTCATAGGGCAATATAGCCTGGATAAAAGCTACTTTAAAGCAAAATGATTGCATAAAGGTTGCTCATGCTGAATAATGACAGTATGAAAAGACAGTTAAATTATAATGTGATGACACTTTTATTTAATAGAGGCAAAAACTATCATAAATCTGATCATACCAAGTAGTACCCAGTGTTTCCAGGGAAACCCAGATCTATTTAACAGTCTTGTCTTGTGCCCCAATCTCTGCTGGCTCAGATTGATGCCGTGTGTTCCCATCTGCCTTTGCCCAGAGCTGGTAAATACTCACTGATGTTACAGGAAGCATAGTGGTATTTGGTGTTAAAAGTTTTCCTACATGGCTGGGAAAGTGATGTTTAGGTGGAAAGGAGGGAGATGGTGATCATGAGAAAAATGATCCAATCAAACACTGAGCCTAGGCGGATACTACGCAACGGAAAACCACGAGACTACAGAAACAAGTCACTTTTATGCCCTGTGTCAATCCTCTGCAGTCAAGAGAGGAAATGAAGGGAGGAGGAGAGACTTTTGAACCAGCAAAATATTTATCATCACTTTGACCAAATGGAACAACAAGCCTTTTGTTCTGGTGTGGACCAGTCACACCGAAAGAGGTGTGTTGGTTTTTTTGGGGGGTGGGGGGTGGCAAATAAAGAGTTAACCTCCAGAGACAGCATAGATGTGCTAACAGGGTGATGGGAGAGGGGGCAGGACAATCACCACACTGGGGAAAAAAAGCTGAGATTCAGTTTTGTGGAGGGGACAGACTCTTTTTCTGTCTCCTCCAATCAATCACATACGACAAGAATTCCTTGGTGCTGAGAAGAAAAAGGCTTTGAGAAAGTTTAGGCATCTACATATTTTACAGCAAACTCAAACATCTCACAGGTCCTGTAGCATACCACCACAGCTGTTTCTCAGGACTTTTCTTTGTTGGTATACTGACAGTTTATGAGGATCTCATTTCCCTGCACCACTCCTCACTAATCCCCCCTGTTGCTGCAGTAGCAAGCTGCATCCAATTATGCTATTCATTCCATGGCACTGAGATTGTACTTCACAGCTTTCCAATAAAGAAGACAGCAGGATAACAAATGCAAGGGCGTTTATAGTCATGCTGAGTCCCATAATACAACAAGTGAGATGAATGGTTGAGTTTAAAGTCAGTATTTCAAAATGTTTTGCATCAGTGATGACCTTAAAAAAAACATTTATTTTGATTGATATACAACTTACCTGAAATCAAAATCTCTTCTTTTAGCAAAATATAAGTTAAATTTTAATGTTCTTAATGAATAGACAATTTGTGGCAGAGCTTCTTACATACATGTCTAATCAGCTGTGAAATGAGACATGCATTCAACTCACCCTCTCACCATGATCTCCCGGGGCACCTGGGGGACCCTGCAATCCTGGGGAACCAGGAAGACCCTAAAAGCAAACACACACAGACACATATGCACTTACCATATATTATTCCAAACTGCTGCTAACCAGCATTCCCACCACAGTCAATCTATCCAATACTATGCCTGCACAGGCCAACAAAGACACAGGAAAAGACATGAATCTAAAATGAAATAAGCCTCAAAATGAAATAGCCCCCCACTCCCCTTTTCTCTCTCTCTGTTGCACTCACATACAGAGACACAGACATATACACATTCATGCACAAATACATATTTGTCAGTCTCTCCCAACTCAAGCTTCACTGGCGATCAGGGCTGATGCTCTTTCCATGAAGGCATTTTTTTCCTTTCTTTAGCTGTTCTCCATCTGTGAAGGGAGACAGGAGTATGGGAGAACGTGATACTCACTGCCTGGCCGGGGGCTCCTTGGGGTCCTTCTATAAGCATCCCCTGAAAAAGGAAAAAGTGGATACAGTAGCATTATAGGGCAGTCTGCAAACCCACAGGCAAAGGAGAACAGGGGAAGAAATAAGAGCTAGTGAGTGCTTTGGGTTTGACTCTGAGTTTATAAAGTCAACAAACTCAAGATGATAACAATGCTAACAGATGTACTATTCTATAATGTGTGTGGTCAGAGATGTGGATGGGAGCCTGTGGTGGTACAGAAGAAGAGATGTTAACTGCAGCTACTATTTCAAACAATGTTTACCCTGTGGTGGTAAATTGTATAGGAGGCTCCCAAACCAATGTATTAACTGTGGCATTGGTGCAGACGGTGGTTGTGCCGTCATTAGTCATTAGACCAAAAATGAGAGTTACTGTAAATCTCAGCAGGAGGGAAGACACTTTGTAGGACCTTAGTAAGTGTTTCAACTCCTTCATTAAACTAATCAAGATGCAAAGTTCAGCTGCAGTGAAAGTAAATAAATAAATATAAAAAAATAGGAGTGTAAATCAAAAATGAAAAAGATATTTCTTCAAGAAAAAAGATTAAAGAAACCATATTCTTCAGAAAACGTAGAGAATCTGATTCAGGGCTTTTACAAACTTATAAATCATTGTATGCAACAGTTGGAAAGTCTTAGTTGATATGAAAGCCTGCTGACATTAATTTTGAAATATGCCATTTATCTGAACAATTGTTGCCTAAAATAAGACCAGGCAAGAGACAGAAAGATTTCTGGCTAGTTAGAAAGCTACAGAGCTAACTGTTAGATTGGCACTGAGCTAGACACCTAAATCACCTATAAACAGACAGACAGACACTGTAGATCCATGCAACTTCCTTCAGGACATGTGACGCATTTCTTTATTTTGGTGTTCAAAATTAGCTTGGATAAAGCTGATTTCATCTTCAACTGTTATCAGAACTGGGGCACATGAGGACTAATACTTCACTTACTGGCTCAATGACAGCAGGTTCACCCTTCTCTCCTTTTTCTCCCAGGTAACTTCTACTTTGACCCACCTGCAAACAGAAGGCAAACCAGGTGAGCTTTTTACACTCTAACCAGCCAGACATGTATATGTAAAGTCAGAGCACTAATGGTTTGAAAGCCAAAAATGGAAAATGTGAGACCAATGAGCAGCAGATGTCCTGCCTGACGAGCTGCGTCTTCCCTTTTATGGAGCTTACTTAATACTCTAACAAAATTGCTAAGAAACATTCAGTAAAATGCTGACTAGTGTTCTGCATGCTTAGAAAGATTAAGGTAGTTCTCAAGGCAAAAAGATGATTTTTTTTTCTTGCCTTCTGGAAAAATAAACCTCAAGAATCTCTTTGCAAGAAGCTATAATTTAGTCTTTGGTCTGACTCCTATTTATTAAACGCCCTAAAAGCCAAGGACTGCAGGAGAAAATAAGACCCCAACTGTGCACAAATGCAGAGGCCATTGTTACCTGACACCATCCATACGATGACTTCACATGAAAAGAATTCACAAACCACTAAAACCCAGATTGTACAGTTTAACCTGTAGGAGTCACAGAATAGAGCTGTGGTGTCCTGAGATCGCAGAGGGTAGACCACTGATAGAGTGGTTCAGGGGAACCCAAAGCCAACAGAGCTCAGTTAAACCTCCAGAAAGGGACTGTGTCACCTTTCTGGATCCTGAGGTAAGGAAGAGGGCTGGAAACAAGCCACAATAAACACTGGCTCAGCAGATATATCTTCCTTGTTTCAGATATTGATCAGAATGGATTTGATAAAAAAAAAAAGCATCTGCTAAGACTTAGTTTCTCATCAGATCCAAAGAGATCATTGGTGTGTTAACAAGGAAGGAGCTGCACAGCATAGGTCAGTGGGGTCACAAAGTTATGGAAGATGTTTTTCTGTGTAGACAGCTCGCTCCACCACTGTTTATCTATCGGAGACTTAGATATGCCAGGTGTGTATTTGTGTTTAGTGTATTTATATACAGAAACTCCGAGCTATAACAACAAACAAAAAGGCTACTGCAAACAGCTCATCAGAGAACAGCCACCTGCATCATTCCTGTCTTTCCACATTCCTGACCACCATTACCATTCCTAACCACTCCAGCACTTACACTGCTCTCTCTGATGTCTGTCTCTGCTGGAACACCAACACCGAACTCTTCCTCATATGTTGCAGATGTAGGCTTGGTGTCAGTGAGGTCGTAATCGCCATAATCACCGTATTCATATGGCTTCTCTACTACCTCTTTGTTGTCATATTCCTTCAGGTCGTATTCCATAAAGTCATACGTGTCGGTGACAGGGTCCACCTTCTCTTTGGTGTCCACTGAGGCAGCAGATTCCACGGTAACAGTGGGGTCCGCCCCAACCTGTTCCACACCAGTGATGTAATCATCCATATTTCCCCCCTCGTAGCTCTGGGATCAATCCAGGCATCGCAAAAAGGGGGTTGTTAAGATGGAAGGACACAGAAGTTTGGTTAGTGCGATGAAACCATGTGAACAGCTGCAATGATTCACATGATTTGTATAACTTGATTCACAGACAAAGCGTTAGTATTTAACAATTTGATCAAAATATCAAATTATTGGACACCAACTAGGTTAACCCTCTTGTTATGTTGCGGGTCAAATTGACCCACGAACATAACTGCTGAGCAGGCATCACCTGAGAAATGAACATAACAGGAGGGTTAAACTCCTCTAAGGAATTTTCATTTTAATTGTGCACACATCAATGTTTCTAATTTGGGATGGCATCCAAAATGCAACTTTCGTGAAAGTAAACATATAGGCACTGTTAACATGACATCTATGATCACATTTTATTCTGTTTGTCTGTAAAGCAACAGGAAAGTGAGATGTCTCAGCATGGTGAAACTATACTATAAACTATATTAACTCTAAAATTACAGTATGAAGGGCTAGTGGGGTCATTTAGACAGCATAATCTTGACTATTTCAATCTTAGTTAAAAGGTCAAATACATCTGAGTTACAATTGTACTGATTTACAAGCATTGTCTTGTAAATCAGGCTCAGCGATGATTTACAAGACAGTGCCGATTGAAATATGTCAGTGTTACACTCAAATGCATCCTTAGACATCACGAAGGGAGAATGTAGAGAAACAGATTCTCATGCAAATTTTGTTTTGGAAGCAACCTTTTGAGAGTTGAAAATTGTTGCACACAATTTTTAGCTTGTGTAATCTCCGGAGAACAACTTGCATTTGAGAACAATGCATCTCACAAAAGTAATTGTTCATTTCACAGGATCCGATTATAGCGCAGCACATCTCAGGAAAAATTAGCAGAGGTTAAACACTGTGTAAGAGTGCTTCCATCTAAACAGTCAGCAAATCATTTGAATATAAATATGAATGAATAACTTTATTTAAGATTTATAAACAGGATTTAAACATCCAATTTTAAGTCAGCTGTCTATTTCTCTTCATTTTAACTCACAAAAGTATCTTTAATGTTATTTATTACAGGGTTTGTATATCACAAATCTAAAATGTTAATTCCACAACTAGGCAGCTGACAAAGCACAATCCATGGCTAAATCTAGGTGAGACTTAAATGGTTGGTAATATTTTAAGCAACATGCAGTACCGGCAAAAAATATAATACCTACCTGCAGTAATAAAAACAGATACACGGTGCAGAATGCCCCACAGAAGGACAATAAAACTCAAATGCATGAACAGACTGGAGGAGCATAGCGGTAATATTAGCAGACTCAGGACTTGCACTATCTCCTGACAATGCAATACTGTAGCACATTTAGTCAAAGGACCTACCAATGGCATTTTGTCTGTTGTGTCAGGTCCTTATGTAATATGACCCGATGACACTGTCTAAAAGAGTCCTCAGTAATCAGAGTGTTCCAACACTGGACAGCATATTCTGTGGTTAGCCCTCTACCCTGTCATTTCAAATGAATGTCATGTCTCAAACTGAATGATGCTGCATTATCCACCTGAAGGTATCTACAGTAACAATGCAAATTGGCTGGTGGAGCACGCAGCTGTATTGTTTTAGTTTAACGCCCATGTTCCTCATTATGTTGTGTTTTATGTGATGGTTTAGCACAAATTAGGACAGGATTTGCCATTTTCAGGATATGGTGGATGGGTCTGCATCTGTCTACTGATTTTCCATTGGTCACGGTTCAATATATGAAAACGTTTTACTGCTTAGGTCTTTATCCAGACTCTATTTGATGGAAGCAGTTTCTCATGGAAATGAAGCAGCAGAGAAACCTGTTTGATGTTAGCGAGGCCTTGGTGGGTTTCACCCTCCAAAGACAATTAGAAAAATATGTTTTGTTGTTGTTGATGCACTACAGCTTTGTTGAAATTTTCATTTTGTACCAGTAAACCAACAATTTAAACAGAGATCAGGATGTTAATTGTCAAGTCAGTGATGCACAGAGAATTTTCTACAGTAATAAAAAGTGTATCCCATGAAACAAAGTTGAACTAATTTATCTGTGGTCCAAACCTTTCTGATTTTACAAAACTCAAGAATACACATATTTTAAATTAAAATTCCAAATGATGTCAATCAACTACTAACTGCCTACAGCTGTAGGAAAAGAATCTGGGTCTAGTGTCCAGGGTGTTTCATAACCTTTTACTATATATCCATATTTTCCAAATTATTTAATCAATTTTTCCAAATATCCTTAAAATCTTTTGACATTGTGTAATGACTGCAGCAGAGTGAAATATTTCCAAAATGAATACTACATCTTGGGCATGACAGTTTGGAACTAATCCTTCCTGTCTCTGGGCCTCTACTGACTGCTGCTGAAATCATTAAACCAACTGTTATACTATCAGTTGTTTAGTCTGACATTTCATATTATATATTATATAGCTCTAAGAATATTTTACCGCAGCTTTTTTTACCAAACTCACTGTTAAATGGTTTATATTTTGTCCTGTTGACAAAAGCAAAACATGTAACGCGTAAGATTTGTGAAAAAAAAAAAAAAGAAATGCAGGTTACCGAGCCTGGTCCTGTAGTCTCAGTGGGGGTTTCAGGCTGAATTCTGTCCTTTGTGGGGTAGTCATACTCTCCCAGGTAGTATTCTTCATCCAGATTTGTCTGAAATTGGAGCAGGAAAATGGGCAGATGGGTAAATCCTACTATCCTATTTGAAAGCTTCATTTAGTGTGATTGTTGAGGCGTAATGGTTGTATTGCTTGTCTTCAAATATTTGAGGACATTTTATGATCTGTTATGTTCTTCCGTTAAAGGGAGTTTTTCCTCCCCACTGTTGCCAAGTGCTTGCTCAAGAGGGATTTGTTGGGTTTTCCCTATAATATTGTAAGGTCTAGACCTTACTATGGAAAGTGCGCTTTATTTTGTCCTGTTGACAAAAAAAACAACAACATGTAACTCACAAGATTAGTGAAAAAAGAAATGCATGTTTAAAAGGTTACCAAGCCGGGTCCTGTAGTATCAGTGGGGGTTTCAGGCTGAATTTTGTCCTCTGTGGGGTAGTCATAACCATCGTAGTCAGGTTCCACCGTTGTCTGAAATTGAAGCAGGAACATGGGCAGATGGGTAAATCCTACTAAATATAAGTTATATTTGAAAGCTTCATTTAATGTGATAAAAGAAGGTAATGGTGATATTGCTGTCCTCATACATTTGGTTATAGTGGTTTATTTATTTAGTGTATGTTTTGCTACAAATAGATAAACATACAAACATCAAAATAGACTAGGGGAATATTTACAAAGGTTTTGTGGCTCATTTTCTGGCACCAAACAGTGAAATTGCATGTTCATACTTAAACAAGTCACAACAGGGGTTTGCAGAGAAACAGAAGAAATGTGGCACTGCAGGAATTTGCACTGTTGTTTTTTAAGGCGTTTCAGTACAGGAATGCAAACATCAGGAAGGACAGAATAAAAATGTATACAAATACCCTCAGCGCCTGATTTACCACTTCTTGGACAGCAGGAACTGCGGGTGAAATTTAACGTCAGGAGAAAGCAGGTATAAAATTTGAGGCGCTGATGTCAGCATGGTAGCTGTTAGTCATGTGACAGCTCGTTAGGAACTGGAGTTAAGAACATGTTTGAAGAGGTTGAGGGGGTTTGTAATGTGCATCGCTAGCCAGAGCACAATGTGAGGGACTTTTACAGGTTTTCAGGCCAAACCATGCTTCAATTACTGAACAAAACAAAAGATGATTTGAGGTGATTGATGTTCTGAAACGAGTTAGTGCTATGCAAATAAAACTGAATTGAAATGAATTGTCTAATCTGTACCAAAACTAAAGAGTTTTTATGGTAAACTAGGCTAATTGTTTCCTGGCTCCAGCTTCATAGCAACCATATAGAAATGAGAGTAGTATTGATCTTCTTATCTATCTCTCAACAAGAAAGCAAATGTCAAACTATTCTTTTAAATCATCACTGTCAATGGGTATCTACTGGTATACTGCCCACAGCCCATATAATATGTAATTTTAATCAAAACAGATCTGAATAACATATTAAGATTTTTCCCAATGTGTCCTTTCTTTGAATTTTCCCAGCACTGTCCAAACAGAAGTGATACAGATTAAAATAACAGACCAACCCCAGATATGTATCATTGCAGAGATAAATATTAGTCCCTAGACTACTGCTGAGCTCATAAAAATAATTCAAGACCCACAGTCCACTGCAATACTGGCCTAGCCTCCGCTCAGAAGCCCAGAGAGATGCCGAGAGGTCACACAAGAGAGAATCCCTGGCCAAACTGAACAGACTGACAGACAGGAGAATCTGAGACAAGCAGAGGGTCAGAGAGAAATTCAAAGAAAGATGGAGAATGAAAGATTCATACAGATTTACGGTGCTGAAGTGCCTGGCTGAGCTGGAGGCCGTCTCCACAGGCTGGGATGAAAGACATAAATACTGAAATGTGCTCATAAAAAGCTCCCCCTTCCTCCTCTTGCATCACTCCATCTTCCTGTTTTAACTCAGCCACAGACATGTGGCTCACGACTGCAAAGGCGGTATGCTTCAGGTAAGCGAGCATTTTCAGAGGATAAAGGTCAGAGCACTGTGCCTTTGTTGCAGTGGTTTGATTGAAGTTCAGACCTCAAAGAACACAAGGTGAGATTTGAATTTCTATAACAGTGATTTGTCCTTTGGAAATAAATTCTTTAAAATGCTGAGATGGAATGTAAGAAAAACATTCCTGTTCTAACTGCACAGAAACTGACAATGACTAAACCAGAGTTAGTGTTCTTGAATCCAAACTGTTCCTTGCTGTCTACTTAGAACTGACAAGCTCCTTGTCTTGGCGCTGAAGAGTAACTTGATGATGAAGCAATACTTTCCAGGACATGGTACCCACTGTACAGCCAATATTTTCAAACAAAGAACCGGCTCCTGATTTTTTCTTTAACCAGGGATCTAAAGTCCACTTTTCCAGGTACTAGGAGGAGCTGGGGCTAGGGAAGGAAATGCTTAAATTTCCCTGGGAGCCTGGGCAGAGCCTGCAGAACTCGTTAGAGATATAAATCACAGAGCCACTCCAAAGTGGGCTCAGCTTTTGTGGCAGGGAAAAAGTTTCCAGTGTGAGCTCATCACTTATTTACTAAAATACTGAAGGAAAAATGTCAGCTGAGAGAAAGGCTTGAGCTACCAAATAACAAAAACTCAAGATGAAAAATGAGGCCTTGACATAAAGCACCGTATTTCAATTAGGAAACTGAAGAGGCTACAAGTGATGTTTTTGAGTCTGTCGCAATAAAATTGAAATTTCAAAAGATGAGTTCAGACTCAACACTGTATTCTGGTATGTCCACATGTTTCCACCAGTAAAACACAGACTAGAGAAAGAGACAGATTAGAGTTGACATTAAAACTCATGCAAGGCCACCACTGTCAGAGAACTTGCCCAGAGGAACGTGTGTAAAAAAAAGTTAAGATCCCACAATTCACAGAGAACTTCCTCTTTTATATAAGAAAATGTGAAGAGATTTCAAATTTCAGTTTGACTTAAAATCACCCTGTCTTTAATTCTGCTTAATTCTCACCTGTCCAAGTCTTCTAATTTGTTGTCCTATAGTTGTCTTTTGCTAGCTAACATTTCAAGTCTTTCCAGATCTCTGTTATCACTCTCCCTCTCTTTTCCTAGCTGCAAATATTCCTCCAATCTTTCCTCTCTGAATCTAGCTATCTCTAAAGCTGTCCCTCCTGTCTCCCAGCTCTCTCTTCGTCCTTCCTTCCCTCTCTCCAGACAACCACTCTTCCCCATCCTCTACTACTACACTGATAGTGTTTTTTTCCATCTACACAAGTCAGCCCTACTGAGCCGAGCCGTGCTGAGCTGCTCTGGAGTCAGCACGGTTCTGTTCCCACTGCACCATAAAATGCATTGTTTATTGTCCGCATCTGGATCGCATGAGGGTGGTGCCAGCGACTGAGAAGTGACACATAACCCAAGGCATCAGTGTGGTGTTACTAGCTTGCAAGATGGGGCCCTTGGTGTTAGGCATTATTTTAACCCCTCATCCAACGTGCACATGTGAGACTCCATTTTCAAATCTTGTTGCAATGAAATAATAGATAAAAAGTCAATGGTGAATATAAGGACGTTTCCTTGGCGCAACATTTCAGCCAATCACGTCTTGATGAGTCAGCTCTGTTAGAGCTTGAGCTCAGCCTTACTCAGTCCTGGGTGGGGTGGAAGCAGGGCTGGGTGAGCCCAAGTCAGCCCCTGCTGCTAAGATGGAAATGGAGGCCGACTCGTGCCCACCTGGCTCCGCACGATTAAAGTGGGCTGACCTGTGTTGACATAAAACCACCCTGCTCAGTCTACCTTGTTCCCTCTCCAGATACTGACCTGGTCAGCTTCCTGAGCCTGGGGGATGTCCTGGTGGCTGGGGCTTTCACAGTCAGGGCTGTAGTGTTCACAGTAGTCATAGGCTGCCCTGGGGTCTGCCACTATAAGCAGCTGCTGGATGTCACCCTGGAAGAAGAGAAGACGAAAGAAAAGCAGCATGTCAGCATAAGCAATATAACAAATTTCAGAGACTATAGTTATAAGATTTAAGTATGTACAGAGGTAAATTCCCATGTCTTTTCTTTTGTCCTTAGTGTTCCACACTATAAAAACATCATAAAAAGTCTGCTGGATAATTTACAGTGCTATAGGTTTTTGCTGTGGCCATCAGTTTTATTTAGTTTCTAACAAATTAAGGCCTTTTAAGTTTGGTTTCTACTGAGAAGAAGCTGGTTCAAGGTACAAATCAGAACAGAACACTTCACCATTGCAAAACTGGAAAAAAAAAACCCATTAAATACTAGTTGAAATCTTCTGCTTCCATGCACAGTTAGAGGCACATATACATAACAGAATGTGAAGCTATGTAATTAGATATGATTACAGTTGCTCCATGGGACTATAAACTGACCTTTCTCCTTACATTTTTAGGACTCAAGCCTTTTGACTTTTTAATCAGACAAATAGATATCCTCTGACACAGTCGCTAATCACCTGAACCTCAGTTGGCAGGGCGCTATGCCCCTCTGGCACCTTGGAAGTGCTCCAACTGTCAATCACTTAAAACCGTCTATGCAGAAAATGAATGTGATTTTTACACCCTGACACCCAGAATAACTCCACCTACCTTACAATCAGAAACCCTTTCTCCAAACTCGCTCATACTGCCCTTTTTCTTTTGTAATTACAAATGGAAACCAAATGTCAACATCACTGAAGAATTCGCCTTCTCCTTACCTAGCGCTGCACCAATGTACTGTTAATATATTGTGACAATATAATAACAAGGTAGGTGTCAAAACAAAAGTCTATTGACCATTAATTACATATAATTTTATGGAATAAATCAAGGCTATATGCATCAGTAAACTTTTAAAAAAGAACTACTGTAGAGTTGCCTTCATGCAGAAAGTATTGATTTGCTTTTGGAAAAGAAAATCAGATCCCTGCTCACAACCTTCCCATCAGCCAAAGTTTCTTTTCCATGATGGTCTCCAAAGGAATTTCTAAAGTGGGAACTGTTATGCCACTGAAGTGAGGAATGTTATCTATACCCATCAACTACATGAGCACCTCAGCTGACGTTTTTCACAGTCCAACTGGAGTAAGTAAGTGAAAGGACAAACAAATGGGGAAAATAAAAGCACTGTGTGAAGGCAAAGGGAGGTCATGATCAGGGCGGCCACTAAAGAGGAAGCACATACATGCAGATTTGATTAAAATACAGCAGGCAACATCTGTACAAACTTAGACCTCTGAAACACATTACTCCAATCATAGGTGACCCGTAAATCTCAACAGGCCATTGAATATCCCAAACAACCAAATTATGTAAATAAATTCATCTGTACATCCCATAAAATATATATTGATACAGATATGTCATGTCACAGTGTAACAATGTGACAACTGTGAGGTATCAGGTGTAAGAAGTCTCTACAGTATCTTTGACTAAAATGTAGCTCATTAGCAAAGAAAAGATTGCTTTCACATAGGTCGTAATAACATATGACAAAATTAGACACGTGTTTTAGACTCATAGCACACAAAATTTGAACATTTCAGGTTTGTAGCTGGGAGGCTATACTGAAGAAGTGAAATAGATGCTAAAAATTAGGTTTTTTGGGGGGGGGGGGGGGGGTAATAGCTCCTACCGCTCCTTCGAGCAAGGTATTTAAAGTCCAACTCTGACAAATCAGATCTCACTGTGGCTGCACTGGGGAGCTTCCAGGTGTAAAGCAAAGAATAAGAAGCACAGAATTTATGCTTATTTAGCCAACGTTCTGTGAAATAAGGGGAAAATACCTTACTCACAAGAGTTCACCCTGCATCTTGGGAACTTCCTACTACAACAAAAAAAAAGACAAAAAGATCTGCAGGCACTGCATACTGTATGTCTTTTATATAATTTAGCACAAATGGATTCAAAGTCAAGGCTTGAAACAGAGAAGACAGTTAAAAACAGATGCACTGCGTTTGGCAATGCCTCTGTCTGCTTCCTCCTCTCTGGGCCTTCCTGTGTGCGTGGAGAGTTAACTTTTCATTCTCACTCATTCATTTTTTTTTTTTAGCTTAGTTTATATTCAGTTTGAAAATAAAGTCTATAAAGCAACCATGCATTCGCTTCGGCTTGTCAAGAGACCACACACACTTAGCCCATTTACAAAGCCAGTCAGTGATTCAGTTACTCCCATACTCCCTGAACCTCCCCCCCCCCCCTCTCTCTTTTTACCAACTGTCTCCTTCATCTGCATCTTGGAGCTTTTGTTGATGTTACTGTCTGGATTATATTACACATCTCTCTGACATCTATCGAGGTTCCTCCCCAGAATTCCAAGAATGATCTACAACACCACCCTGGCTCTACTCAGACAGAGCTGGCACAGATGCAGTGGGATAAATCATCTGTCTGGGCAACACTACAGTCAAAGCATTAACAGTCCTGTGTACAATATGCATGTGTGTTTAAATACAACATGCTTTGACACATGTAAACCTTGATCACCCATTATAACAACAACAATTAAATGGAATGAAGTTCATAAAAGGACAAACTGAAAAGGATGAGACTATGATCAAAGAAAGGAGAAGCTGGGATTCATCTGTCCTTCTACATTTGACTCATTGAAAAACTAATTCAAGAGTACGCAAAGGGTTGCGCTTGTCTTTTTTTATATCTTGAAGAACAGAGACTAAACACAAGCGCACTTCCTAAATCACGTATGCTTCTCATCTGATTTTAAGCTAAGAGATTGAAACCAGCAGACAGTACTGGATTTTCCCTGGGCTAGGTAGCCTTGATGTCTGCTGTGAAGACCCTCTTTTCCAATGCACAACCCATACCCAGTGTGAACAGAAGTCACTTAAGGATAACAACTGACAGATGGATGATTATCTAATAGCGGGCAGTATTACAACTCCTCAGCAGACCATGAAATCTATCCTTTGTATTGTATTATTAGTAGGATGTCAAATATCAGCTTCCGACTGCCACTCAGGAAGACAGAGGCAGGGGGGTAAAGTGATCGAGTGAATAGTCGATATCTGACTATGAGCACACATTACCTCATCCATAAGCAACAAACACCTGACTGACCTCAAAACTCGGATACAACTGTGATTACATGTAGATACTGTAACTCCCGCTGGCGCTGAATCAGAGACGACAGCAGGCACAGGGGTTTTGCAGTTTTGTATTTGTTGGGATAATTTGAAGGCATAAACAAATAAGTAGGCTGCATTTGACTCTACCAAATTAATACCATTCTTGATTTAGAAATGTTATCAGCATCAGTGTCATTTTCTGAAGCGTTACAACCTTTTTTCTTTTTTTTTATTATGAACCTGACACTGTTTTGCCCTGATTTGAGCCTTACAGGCTTCTTCTCAGGCTGCACTCGTATCCTGCTGACTCCTGCCAGAACATTACTCCAACAAGACAAAGAGGACCTCACCTTGGGCTCCAGGAAAACACATTTAGCACTTCTGGTAACTTTTTGATATTTATAGACAAAAAAATAAATAAAATAATGGAGAAAATAACTGGCAGCTTAACAGATAATAAAAGTAATTCCACTATGCAGCATTACTCTGTACACAACCAATATATAGTTTTCACTAATGCCTAAAGAACAACATGTAAGGGCTAATTAGATGGTGTGGCACATCAATGTGCCTGCAGGAGCAGCTGGGGGATATTCAGACACCTGAAACACACACTTGCCAATGTGTAGTCTGACCCAGAAAAACACAGATGCAAACATGTGGAGGCTGGAGAAAAAGGGCCACCATGATCACACATTACATGTTTGTGTGATCAATACTTTAATACTTCAGTACTCCACAGACTGGTTGCTGTTTCAGGAAATCATCCACGCACAACACCAAAACATTTCTAGGCTTAAAAAGGAAGGGGAAAGGATGTTTTTTACTATTGCAATCTCACCATGCCATAGAAAACTACATGTGTATTTTAGATATTTCCAGAAACAAAGTCCTGGTTACTCGTCCACAGACCTTGCTGTGAACTGCTTTCACTGCAACTACTTTCTACTAAAGAAAAAAAAAATCATATGGAAGCTTTATTGGTGTCACTGTGACCTGCCAGTGACACTGAACCTCCCAGGGCTCCATCTGCCAGATGGGCCATGCAGACTAGGGCTGCTCAAATCAAACTTTTCATAGGAGCTGCTCTTGCAGATGTTTTAGAGTAGATACTGTGCAAACTTGCACTATCTTTTGTGACCAAAATGCGCTTCTGTATTTTCTTTTTCTCTTGTGCCCAGCTCTGCACAAATGTGACACAATTATTGTTTGCCTGCTTTTCAAAACTATGGGAGGGGAGCACATCATGACAGAACAAATAGACAGATGGAATTTCAAAACCGTACAAGGACAACAATTAACCAAGCTGCAGAGAAGAGGAAAAATGTATAATACTCTCCAGATTTCTCCCAGCGTTTTATCAAATGCAGCCTTTGTGGTGAGTGCAGGGATGAAGTTTCTTTTCAAGCACTGGAGACATACAAATGTCTTACACCCTTTGAATATTAAAACATTTATCCTGCCAGTAGCTCACAAAACTGTTGAACTGTCTGAACCATCTGCTTGCTTGTCTGCCTGCCCTTTCCTCACAACTCTCACTTTCTCTCTCCCTCTCTTTTTCCTCACCCTGCTCTTTTCCATTAGCTGCACCTTGGGTCCATTACTTCCTGGCTGTGACCCTCACAAACTGGTCCCAGCACAAGGGACAAGGAGGTCAGATACAGGTAGAATTTGATAGTATACTATGGGACTATTATGCAAAGATCTAAGCTTTGTACATATAAATAAATACAATAAAGTAAATACTGTAAAGTTATGCAGAGACAGATGAACTTCTCAGCAACACTCACACTCAGACAAATATGAATAAATCATTATATTCCTATTACACAACCCCTAACCAAAACATTTTCTGGCGGGTACTGGAGGGTAAAAAGTGACTGAGGCAGATGAGAAACAGTCAAGCATGTTTCTCTTCCTGCCGGCTCAACCATAAACAATGATTCACTTTAAGGCCCAGAGCCCATCAGAGCCTTATTAGAGCCCTCCGCCAAAGACTGTCCTGCTTGAGGGACAGAGTTTTGCAACAATCTTCTATTCAGTGATGACAGATGCATAAACAAACTGCCCCCACCTCTGCTCTCTTCCTCACAGACATACAAACACATATTTTGAATGTATGACATATGTAACGCACATAAACACACATGCTGACATACAGTGCAAACAAAGTATCCCCTATTCTTTTATTTAAAGGAGAAAGAGGGGGAAAAGGCATTTGCAGGCTTGGTCAGTAAGCATATCTCTTAAACAGCTGTGCAATCAGAGCCAAGACTAAGGACACACTGATCATATTTTCCTCTAGTCTTCATTCTTCAGTGTGCTCCAAATTTGACACCTGCTTATGCAATCTTACTGCAGTAAGGTAGCCATGCGCTCCCAGTTCAGAGTGGTTTTAGTCAGAAAGCTCACAGCCAACCTTAGTAATTAAACCTGGGAAATGCTCCAAAGTTGTGACTCTTAGCAATGCTAAACAGCCACAGTTTCTTCATCCCTTAGGTCCCAGATAGATTCTCATTAGTGTAAACTCAGAAATCTGCCAGTGACTCAGTAGAGAAAATGTTTCTAGTTTTGTTTCTAGTTTATCCAGTTACAAAGTTAGATAAAAGTGTAAGCCTTAAGAAAAGCATTTGTTAAACACCTCAAAAGTTTAGGTTTGCTTGACTTTTTGGACACAGGTAAAAATCTAGGAAAGACTTCTGCCAAATTCCAGTTTTCCAGATACATCATTAGGCAAAGGGAAGGGAAATTTTGATCTGACAATAAAGAATGTGAAGTTGTCATCATGCCGTGTTGAATTTTGGGTAAATACACCATTTGGGGGAGTCACGCTCATTATCCATCACAGAGATAAACATCTTAATTTAAAATATATACATACTGTATATATACATATATACTATCTCATACAACTACATGCAGTAGCAGATGCTTCAACTATGTACAAATGTTTACTTTTGTGTTCAGTTTGAGCACAAACAGGACAGAAACTTATTCATCTGGAGTGTCTATGTTATCTGCTGACAGCTGCTAGCTAGCGTTAGCTCCCAAACCGAAAGCTGAGATCAGGATGCAGAGTCATCTTTAAGTCTGTCCCTCTTGTCGACAGGATCTCTAGGTTCACGATGAGTTACCTACAGTCAACTATAGTCAGCTAAGGTTGCCCATTCTGAATGATCACAGTCTGTAAAGTGATATCTAAATGATTTAAGCAACTTTTTAGCCAAACAAAACAATAATGTATGCAGGTAAATGCAGTGCCTCCCTCCCAAAATAGCGCCACTGTCCCAACAATCAACACAGCATGATGTATCTTCACATTTCCTGTTGTGTTAGATAAAAGACAGGGATCAACTAAATCACTGGAGTAAGGATTGAGAAGTTTAAGGCCACTCTCATGCTTGTGTGATAAGTGCAGAGGTGGAGTCAGAAGTTGCTTAGTTTAATAGAGCATAAGGACTAAAAGTAAAGGAAAACAGTGTTAGGTATTGGCTCGCTCTAGTGCAAAGATACAAAAAATACACCTAGTAACACCCTTAAAGCTACCTAATGAGTGTGTTTTATCTCGTATGTTTAATCTGTACACCAACAAAATGTTAAAACAATAATTTGTGGGTTTAGTTTTGTACACTATTTCTTTATAAACACCTGTAGTGAATTGTGTAAATACTGTCATGATTGTGATGTCCCACGCAACCAGTGGAGGGGCTAGTTAAGAAACACTTAAAGCAGCACCAGGCTAGCTGTCTCCCCTTGCTCCTAGTCTTTATGCAAAGCTAAGCTAATCATCTCCTGGCTACAGTTCCATATTGAGCACACAGAGATGAAAGTGGTAGTACAATACACAGTCAAGCTAAGAGGGAATCTTAAGATTTACAATTAATTAAACATTTTATATTTCAGCATAAATACTCTCTTTATACAAACAGGATCCTGGAAGAATTGGTCTGCTGGCAAAGATGTTTCAAATTTTCAGAGTATATTTATCAGCCAGCAGTGTCCCAAAATTTTCCATAGCCCCAGAGGTATACTGATTGCTGCATATCAAGAACAGCTGTAGAATGAATGCCAATGGATAATCCCATAAACAAACCTTAACCAAACACATGGCTGACATCTACTTTACAAACCTTTTTATGCACTGGAATATTAAAATAAATAACCAAAGTCCCTGTGGCCAGTATAAATTTTGCCATTAGCAGTGCAGTTTGGCTACTAGTAGCCAGTTTGTAATCATCAAATCTAAGTTAATTAAACTTCAAGTGGAAATAACTGCAGCTTTGTTTCTAGATGGGCCACTATAACATTGCTATTGTGTGATACACTGATTAAAACCACCTTGCAACGTGCAAAAAGCTCCAACTCCTGGAACAAAATGAATAATTTGTCTTCTCTCCAGGTTTGAGGACAAAACTCTGTAATTCAACACAGTTTAGTGTAATACATGTTCAAACAAAAAGCACTCACAACAACCAAATGGCTGGTCTTAAACCTGCATTAAAAATAGAAATGGCTTGGTGGAAGTACCTGGATATCTTAATCTTCCCTACTCAGCTCTAATCACTGTGGCTTTCACTCTTATATTCTCTGCAGTTGGTAACGTTAAAAAAACCTCTTCGTACTTGACCAATAGCAAAAGTCAAATGCACAAAAACATTGCTGTAAATCATATTGACTCTTCTTAGCCTGACCTGTACGTTAACCTCATTATCTAGCAATGTCATCTGCTTGTTGAAAACCTATCATTGCAGAAGTGCGAATCCCATTTTCAAGTGGCTCCTGTGTTTTCCACACAGCCACAGGAGTCTTCTCTGACCTGCAGGCAAACATTGTGCAGGCTGTTCTACTTAGCAAGAATTCCACATGTAGACATCAAAGAGAGGCTGTCGTCTCCTGAGCTAGCATTCAGGTCATATTTTCCACCCAGCTTGAAGCTACCTGCGCTAAACCTGGTAGCTTGGATCACCACCTCAGTAACCACACAATGAGCTATGATTTCTGAGTTAAAGCAATGATATGAACAAAAATCACCTCACAAATAGCAACAAATTTATGCATCTGAAATAACACACTGTCCAATATGATCGGCTGAAACCCATTAGAGCTCAGTCTTTCTTTTATTCGGTCAACTATTCAAACAACCTGTGCTGAGAAAAAAAGCACAGAAATTACCTACGGCTCTTGCAAAGTATACAAAGCCAATATTGTTGTTGTTCTGGCCAATAAAATTCACTATTTACTGTATGCACAACTTAATGAAAGACAAATAAAATGCCTGGCCTTAAAGCGTTTGGGGTTAAAGTATTAGACACTAAAATTGAGATTTACTGAGAGAAGGATTCACAGTATGCATTTAATTACATTCATACTTAACCTGAATGGCAAAACTGCTGGCATCTAGGTAAACCCCATCGAAACATAACCAGTTCGATCTAGTAGTGAATGTCTGCATTATATTTGCAAAAGTATAAATGATGGTGGCATCTTTAAGCAGATTTTTACCACAGATTTTGGTGTCATGGGTGAAATGTATTGTATCTTTTAAAGAATATCCAATGCAAAATCAATTGAAGGTGATAATAATAATTATCATACACCTTATAATAATAACATAATGTAGCCATTAACCATGATAATGCCACTGTACTGAAGTCTTCTGCACTGATGCAATAGCTGAGAAATGCATGTATTTGCTGTCTTGCCATGGTGTAGATGAGAGGTTGACACCAAGACGCAATCAACTTAGCACAAAGAACAGACAACCAGCACTTCTAAAGGTTACTCATTAACACATTTCATTAGGTTTGCTTAATCTGTAGACATGTAG